AATAATGACATAAAATAAACACACAAAACAACAAACTCACCTCCATGAACAGACTGTTTATGGGTATTCAAATAACCAGCTTGACTGAAATCTTTTCCACAAACATCACATCGATGTCTTTTACCTAATTACGAACACAAAAGTATGGTGAATGAAAACTTGCAGTGAAATACAACTTCAGTAAAAGCATTCGTCAGTCGAATACAACCGAGTGATTTCATTTTTGGTTTCGTTGACTTAACAACTCGACACATTAGAGTCTGTAAAACTGCGCTACAGATAGTATATTAACCACTACCTAGTTTACATTTGTATTGGAGTTTTAAAAATATAAGATGAACATATTGTCACCTGAAGTGAATTAACTTCATCTTACGTGAGTTCAATGGTTCCAATACAGACAAATGAACACATACATGACAAAAAATAAAAGACAAATTCAGAGAAGAAAACTTTCTTTATCAGCAAAATCTTCTTCAAAGGCTGTACAGTCTTATTTATATTTACCAAAATTGTATAGTAGTCTATTATTGAGTAATAGGGAGGGGGCGGGCTGACATAATTCATATAATTACTCGGATGTGGCTTTAGAAGTAAAATAAATGAAATTTGTAAATTATGTTGTACTCAACAGTACGAAGGAAGAAATGGTTAGAAATTCAATAAGGTTACAATTGCTATTGAGTGAGAACAAGGGTATAACGACAGAAGACACTGGACAGGTAACAGATCGTTTATTGAGAGAATCAAGAGGTATTTAAAGATGTTTATGTGCATCATTATCAGCGGGGAAACAACCTCTTCTGATTGTTTGTCTTCTCGCTCAAGGTTATTCTGTCATCACTTTGTGGCCGTTTCTCAGAAGATAAAGTCATGTATTTGTGATCCATATTTCCACACTTTAACTCCACTGTGACTGGCTGGTGATTTTCTCAAGATTCAGCTTTGTTATTGTTTTTCTCATGACCCTGATTCAGGACGTGAACATTGACGTAAATTGCTGTCTACAATTTTGGCTTGCAGACAGCTCTCACCACAAAGGTAGTTGAGTTTCAATTTAACAAGTGTGAAGAGAGTGTGAAAATGTACAAAAGGAACATATGACAGTGATAATAGTGAATTCATTATTAAAGTAAAAGCAAACTAAAATTAAAATTGTAATTTGTTTTTACAGGGAACAACTAGTGAAGAGGTCAAGATCATGGTCGAATAAGAGACTGGACAAACTTTTTCTGTATACAGAGTTTGAAGTTGTATTGACGAATTGCCACAAAACTGCCACTTTGTCATACTGCGTTGCTGAGATTTGACAGAGCAGAGGAGGGAATATAGCGAAAATGAAGTATACAAGAAGAACTGGAAGAAATAAATCAAAAGCAATAGAATATTCAAGGCAGGCGAAGGTGTAGGGCGGATGCGTTGGCGATTGGTCAATACAACGCCGAACTCTGTATACAGAAAAGTTTGTCCAGTCTCTTATTTTCCCGTGGTCTTAACGTCTTCACAAGTCGTTCCTTGTATGAAAAATTACAATTTTACTTTCAGTTTGCTTTCACTTTGATAATTAATTTACTATTATTATCCTAACATGTCCCTTTTGTACGTTTTCTCAGCCTCTTCACACTTGTTAAATCAACATTCAACTACCACCTTTCTTCCTCACTCAATAACATTGTCAACCTTATAAAATTTCTAACGCTTTCTTCCTTTCTGTCGTTGAGTACTACGGAATTTTTAAATATTATTCTCACTACTAAAGCCACTTCCGAGTAATTGTATCACTTATGCCACCCCCTACCCTATTACTCATTATTGAACTACAATACATTTTTGATAAATATCAATACGACTGTACAGCCTCTAATAAGATGATTTCGTCAATAAGGAAAACATTTTCTTCGTTGAATTTGTTTTCTTATTTTCTTCATGAATGAAATTTAAATACTTAAGGAACACATCCACTTATCGTTGGATGACTGATTCCGAAGCACAGTTTAGCTTAAACCGAACTAGCAATCAATTCGCTTTTAGAAGCAAAGACAATTATATCGTCAACAGTATCATACTGAGATCATCTCGTATACGTTTCCATAAAGTGTTACAATGATTGACTTATATGATAGAACTAATCATAAGCGTAACAATCGAATCGAAAGGTTGTTTTTGAATCCTTCAGCTTGAAATGTGAATGTTTCGTGAAGTAAAATGTTTGCAAATTGAGATAAAATTTAATTACCTACATAAAATTCCTCTCATAACCCATCATTTTCGAGTAAAATTAATAAAAGATGAAGTCTCGAAAGGTATAGTGAATTCGAAACCTTATCTGGGTTGTTCAGTTCCACAAAATGCACAAAATTGAGTCAAGACGCTTGACTACCTCTATCCTGTCGCTGTTTTCACACAGAAGGTGAGGTGTATGCTGATTTTGTGGAAGTAAAACCTATGAGTGAGTTATGACACAATCAAAATATTTGTTTCTATGAACTGCTCCTTGTTTACACAGGTATTGTATTCGAAAAGTGGAAACTGGTAAATGATGAAGCGACATGTTTTCTCAAAAAAAGATGTTCTGAGAAATTTGATGTTTTGTTCCACAAACTTCTACACTAGCAAATATTCTTCAGAGAACTAATTATAAATCAACTGCACTAGCAGAATTATCCGCACAAGATCTTTAAAACTTTCCAAGGATAACTGGGTTCACATTTGTTTCAGAGACATTCCACAATTATTATTATCTTCTTGTTATTATCTCTTATTATTATCTTATCTTATTGATGGTGTCATTATTTAACCTACGTAAAATTTAATGTACCCCTGCTTTTGTCAATTGACTTGTGAAGTGAGTATTTTGATGTCGTGCTCGAAAACATGTCATGATATTCATACTGGTAGTGAAATAAAAGGGAATTACAAGTCCTACTCCGCATTCTCCTCTTCAGTGTGAAAATTAAAATGTACACCCTCAGCTAGAATTGTGTTTTCAAAAAGTGACAATTTGAGTATTTGTAATATCAATTTATGAACTAATAGCAGTTTGAAATCTACTTATAAGTCACGATTCATCTTCACATTAATCACAGTTCTGTAGATTTTATACGATTGAACTATAACGAAGACATGGATTCTATTCACATAAATAATTGACTACAATATTAATAACAATTTCTATGATCCAGTTACGTATCCTGTTGAACAAAATATGAAGCAAACAATTAATTAATCTAAACTGCTTTGAAAACCTCAAGAATGGGAGCACATATGAGTTTAAACCAATAACTAGTTTAAAAACACCATCAAGGTCAAGCTGAAAGCCTTTGAAGGAACCATAGACAGACTACAATTCAAGTTCAACACTCAAAAAGGGAAGTACGAAACTACAAAGGACACATTCACTGCAGTCAGCAGAGAAACGTCGTAGTAATTGAACATTCAAGAGACTTCTGCGGAAAACGTCTACAGCCATTTTTGAAAGAAAGAGGAGGCAAGAAAAGGACTGACTCTCAAAGGATACCTGCAAACTAATGGAGGAGAGGATGATGGTCAAAGAGAAGATGACTCAATGCAGAGATGGACAACAAAATGAGAAGCTCAGCTCAATGTACATCAAGGTGAATGAAGACGTGAAGAAGAGTTCGAGGAAAGACAAAAGACAATTCTACGACACACCGGAAGGCAACTGAAGCAGAACAGGCAGGCCGCAGGCAGAAGACACCTCAGAATATTATATCAGATAACCAAGTCTACCGCCATCCGGGAAGAAACCGACCAAGATGACGACGACTAAAAAAGATGTTCAATGCGACTCCATTACCAGGGAGAAGAAAAAAAACACACAGTGGGCTGATTACTTTAAAGGACTCTTGAATTGACCAGCACCTGCAAATCGCCCGAAAACACCACTAACACCAACAGACGCACGGAACTGCCTACCAGTGCACACCAATCCTCCGACAAAAGCAGAAGTTTTAAATGTGACGAAGTTACTGAAGTCCAGGCACAGGTGAGGCGATTTTGAGTCCTTCGTATCATTATTTTTTTTGAAAAGAGTGAAATACGAATAATAGAATTTTCGCTGTTCTTGGAGCGTTGTGTGACTGTGTGCGTCCCAAGGGATTTTATTCACGCATAAAGAAGGACGCAGAAATAGGTTTTCTGAGTTCCGAACATGAGTCCGTTTAGTTTGCTTTAGTTCTGAAAATGCTGAGAAAATATGATTGACAGACGCTCAATGAAGATATCTACGGATCCTGTTGTGAACGAGGAGAATGTGGATGAGCATTCACGAAGGCGACATGTCCTATGAGAACGATGACAATGAAGAATGACAAATACGATGAAGTAGTCGATAGTGAGCTAGATGATGGAGAGATAGATGATGTTAACGTTAACGTTAACGTTAACGGAGGCGATGGTCAAGAGGAATACGTTAACTACGATAGTGATGACGACGAGAAAGAGGAGGCAGATGACAAGACAACTCAATCGACTGGTTGGCACACTATGAAACATGGAGTATCAACAGATGTAGTGAATTCTCTCTGAGATGCTCTGTTTTAAACCGTTCACACAAAAGTGTGTAAATACGACTAGCCACATCTATTTCGCCATTACTCCACCTAAAATATGACTCGAGTGTGTCCACACCGTCGACTTAAAATCTATAATCCTTTTCTGACAGAATTAAGCGACAGGGTCAAAAGTATTTGTTTTCATGAACCATCCATCTAAACGCATGTATTAGTATTGCATGTATCAACTGACGACACTTGGCCGATTAGTATGAGACAAAAGAAATGCGTATACTAACCTGTAGTGGTGAAGATAAGAGTATGCATTTTTGATTGAAACAACTAAAGTGAAGGCGGTATTTGTTCTGATACTCTACTCCAAAAGTGACTCCACTGCCTAAACAACAACACTGATCACATAAAGAAGACAACGCAAGTATAAATTTGATTCTTTCAATCAAACGGCAGCCTGATTTAATCACTAGGCTACCAGACATTCCATGCATCAGAATGCCTAATCTCTTCTGTATTTCTTAGTGCAATTATATCAGGTGACTACTACATGAATTTGTGCGTTCATTCAATCAACTTCCAACTGAACGCTTCGCAATTCGTGAAGTAAATGAAGACAAAATGTACAAAACTGGTTATCTCTTCATATGCATCAAGATTGCGTCACATAATATACTTAAGATTATTACTTTGTAAGTTAATCCTCAACTCAGCTGAAATATTTCGGAACTTAATACGCCGAGCATTTCTCTACTATATGTTTATATATGATCTGAGATAAAGCTGTATTACTATAACTACTATTTAATATTTACATTTCTATTCTTCAATACTCAAATTGTTTGGAAGTGAAGACATTCAAATAAATGATGGAGTTCTCATCGTTTCCTCTGAATGGTGTCCTCAATGAAGTGTTAAAGTCCATCAAGTTAAACAGCAAACAGCATTACATTATTTCACTTCACGACCGACATAATACAGTCATTCACATTTATTCATCATTTGTCGACGATATAAATGGCACAATCACAGATAGCATTGGCAAAATTAAAAGAAATGTAGTCGAAACGGTGGGTTAGTGAGTTACACAACATACGGCCACTAACCAAGGAGGTGAATTTACAAGAACAAACTACACGAAAATACCGGTGACTGAACTCATACGATATATCCTGCAATCCCAGCCATGCTAATCATCAACGAATAAAATCGTGGAAGCCGATTCTCAGAAATGCATTTCAGAAAAGAAATTCTTGCAAAATTACCGAATCGTAGGCAGAACACTTACACGCTACACCTGCACCAACCTCTTGAAATGGAAAGGGTGAAACCACATCGGTCGTGTATGTGACATAGTAGTGAAAGGTGAAATTCATCAAGTCAACATGAAACTCTTGCACAAAATAAACACTTAAAACAACAAACTCACCTCCATGGACTGACTCCATGTGTCTCTTCAAACTGCCAGCTGTAGTGGAATCTTTTCCACATACGTCACATTGGTATCTTTTACCTAATCATGGATATGAAATACGAAAAGGGGAAAAGTTAGTATAGTCACTGGGAGTCTGTTGAGTTAACTGAGAGGAGTATGGTTTTGTTATGATAATCCCTTCAGTAATAATAAAACTGGTAAGACGCCTATAGGAATCACATCCTATTCCACTACACATTAAATTATTTACAGCGATTTGAGTGGTCGGTGTAACAGAAAGATTGTTCCGAAATTCCATCCTGAACAATCGAATGACAACATATGTCGGTGTTCTGAAGTTGGAATATCATACGTCGAAATGACCCTTACCATTTCTCTTTTCCCTGTTCAAACTCAAATTTTAATGCATCTGTTTGTGGTTGTCCAATACATTGATAATCTATTGCTTGACGATGTGATCTTGTTGGCGTGAATGTGGGCTATTCTGATCTTGGATTATCTGGTGAGACTGTCGGTGCGTGTTTCTTGTGGACACAGTTCTCGACCTCACCTTAGTGGCAACATTCTGCTTCATTTTAAGGTACTTCTTACGCTTGAATTTCGGTCAACTCATTTCGTTCTACAGCACTTGTTTTCTACTTAGAAAATTATCTTCACTGCATAGCTGCTTATCACCATTGTTCAGGTAATTTTCAGTTCTTGATGTTATCGTTGTTGAATGGAAGCAAACAAACATTTAACCAAGAATAATCATGTTTTCGCTGTCTTTGGAGTGCTCGGTGACTTATTAGTCACGATTCATCTTCACATTAATCACAATTCTGTAGATTTTATACGATTGAACTATAACGAAGACATGGATTCTATTCACATAAATAATTGACTACAATATTAATAACAATTTCTATGATCCAGTTACGTATCCTGTTGAACAAAATATGAAGCAAACAATTAATTAATCTAAACTGCTTTGAAAACCTCAAGAATGGGAGCACATATGAGTTTAAACCAATAACTAGTTTAAAAACACCATCAAGGTCAAGCTGAAAGCCTTTGAAGGAACCATAGACAGACTACAATTCAAGTTCAACACTCAAAAAGGGAAGTACGAAACTACAAAGGACACATTCACTGCAGTCAGCAGAGAAACGTCGTAGTAATTGAACATTCAAGAGACTTCTGCGGAAAACGTCTACAGCCATTTTTGAAAGAAAGAGGAGGCAAGAAAAGGACTGACTCTCAAAGGATACCTGCAAACTAATGGAGGAGAGGATGATGGTCAAAGAGAAGATGACTCAATGCAGAGATGGACAACAAAATGAGAAGCTCAGCTCAATGTACATCAAGGTGAATGAAGACGTGAAGAAGAGTTCGAGGAAAGACAAAAGACAATTCTACGACACACCGGAAGGCAACTGAAGCAGAACAGGCAGGCCGCAGGCAGAAGACACCTCAGAATATTATATCAGATAACCAAGTCTACCGCCATCCGGGAAGAAACCGACCAAGATGACGACGACTAAAAAAGATGTTCAATGCGACTCCATTACCAGGGAGAAGAAAAAAAACACACAGTGGGCTGATTACTTTAAAGGACTCTTGAATTGACCAGCACCTGCAAATCGCCCGAAAACACCACTAACACCAACAGACGCACGGAACTGCCTACCAGTGCACACCAATCCTCCGACAAAAGCAGAAGTTTTAAATGTGACGAAGTTACTGAAGTCCAGGCACAGGTGAGGCGATTTTGAGTCCTTCGTATCATTATTTTTTTTGAAAAGAGTGAAATACGAATAATAGAATTTTCGCTGTTCTTGGAGCGTTGTGTGACTGTGTGCGTCCCAAGGGATTTTATTCACGCATAAAGAAGGACGCAGAAATAGGTTTTCTGAGTTCCGAACATGAGTCCGTTTAGTTTGCTTTAGTTCTGAAAATGCTGAGAAAATATGATTGACAGACGCTCAATGAAGATATCTACGGATCCTGTTGTAAACGAGGAGAATATGGCAACATTGGATGAGCATTCAGGAAGGCGACATGTCTCCACTTCTGCATGTTCATGTCATGACTCCTGTTTGAGTTTAGTGAATGGTAGTATCTAGCCACAGATATGTTTAGACGAAAAATGGGAAGAGAATTTCACGAGCTACACACTAAATAGAAAGCAGAAATGCCATCCTTTCAAAGACAGCCGGACGTGTTAGACTTTCTCGATGACGGTGGGAAATGGTATGACCTGGCAACTCAGACACCGCTGTATACTTTCAATTTATGAATATACGTCTTGAAGGAAATGAAGACTGTTTTTGCACTCAGATAATGTTCCGTTAAAGAACTACTGGGTGAAGCCTCAAAAACACTTACACTGACATTGAACTTGTTAATCCTCATTTTCAGAAGAAAGGTTCTTAAGGATTAAGGCATTATAAAACAGCACAACATTAAGGATGGTCTTACTATGCACTTGAACATCACGAAAAAACCACAAACTCCACAGGTGAAACAAACTGGTACATCTTCACTCGTTAGAAATGTAACTGCAACTATAAGAAAAAGCTTGAGAACTGGTGAAACCCAAAAAAGCTGAAGTGAATGCTTTTCCTGGTATGCAACACAGGCTATGCAGGCTAAAGTGATGCAAGCGTTTGAACTTCGGAATACGATAGACAGTCCAAAGATTATGACTCCAAACTCCAGCGGTAGCCTTGGTAGTTTACGTAAGTAGTTCTCAGCCTGTGTTGATGTTCAATGTGATTATTGGAAAAGAGAGGTGCATGTGAAGCTCCCTTCTCTAACGGCCATAAAGGAGACCGTCTCAAAAGCCTAAATTACTTGATGGCAGAAAACTGGAACTCACTTCTGGGTTAACTAGAAATTAAAACAGCTCTAATTTTGGGTTCACCGTCTGACATAAAACACCGGGAAATCTAGACATTATTCGCTGCTGTGGTTTCATTTTCATGCAGTTCGAGACCTCACCCTGACACACAATTGACTATTATTGCTGAGTTCATAACAGTAGATGTCCGACATTAGGCTATTTATTCCAGTGTAACTTTGAAAGGACAATGTGTGGTCATTTCCTACAAAGCTATATTAATCACTGATGCTTATAGAAAAAATGTTGAGAGTAGCAAAGTATATGACAAAATGAACTCCTTGCTGAAATAGCCAATGATGATAAGACCGATGATGATAAATTGAAACCCAAATCTGGAAGTATTCTGACGGCAAACAAAATCAGTTGTGTAAGTGATAACGAAGTCGAAGAGAACGATGAAAATGCAGAGTGACAATTACGATGAAGTAGTCGATAGTGAGCCAGACTATGGAGAGATAGATGATGTTCACGTTAACGGAGGCGATGGTCAAGAGGAATACGTTAACTACGACAGTGATGATGATGATGATGATGAGGATAGTGGGGAAGAGGTAGATGACAAGACAACTCAAATTGCTATGGAAACTAAAAGTGCTAATCGTAATCCTACTCTTCTGAAACCAGCCTCCCAGCATAACAGTGAAGAAATTACTCCAAAAATTCGCACTAACTTGACAGAAAGAGTGACAGCTAAGAACGAAGCTCAGGATGACAAGCATATTAACACTGAGTCAGGATATGTGACCACAATGAACGGCATTCATAACTTGGATAGTTTAAGGGACTTTCACTCAAAGACAATTACTAGGTACAGTGGCAAACTTCAATAGTTTGAAGAAACGGCCAGAGTCTGTAAGGCTAAGGTCCCAAATTAAGCTATTTGAGGTGATACCTAAGGACAAATCAGATAGTGATAGGTCAACTTCAAAACTCTTTGTCAGTGGCGTCACAAAATCCACGACTACTAAGCAACTGAAAGGTTGCCTTCATATTGGTTTTCAGCCTGTCTTCCTTAAATTGCTTGTTAAATCACCTTTTATCAACAACGCGATTATGTTATTCTCTTCATCTCATGTTGCCATAAAGGTTTCTGAAATATTCATAACTTTGAAGCCAGTTGACTTGGTGGTGTTATTTGTGAATATGAAAGAGATGTTTATGCAGGTTAAATACCTAAATCTCAACAGTCGTGCACTCTGTTTCCTATTGCGGTTGGAGGCTTATCTATTGAATGAATCAAGACGTGAGATTTCAGCTGTATATTTATCATCCGATGGTCAATCATCTCAAAATGTTTCAGGACGTTTACGCGTCTTCCTGAAGTAAGCGAAATCTCTGATAATACAATTTTCTTTTCTGTTGATGCCTACAGTCTGGATTATTGTATACTTGATGCACTTTGTGTGCATATATTTCAATTCTTTCCCCACTCGTATGTTTATGCTCACATGTTGCTGTCAAACACAAAACAATCATGGTGGCTTTGTCTATAGGATAATAAGATGGTGAAGATAAATTGTGCAATTAGTCATATTATTGGTAATGATAATAATTATAATAATAATAATTTTATCAATAATAAGGATGAAAAAGTGAGGCAATCTGTGATAACATGAATAGTGAAAAAACAGCATGATTAAACAAACAAATGTTCGGGTAGAAGTAGTAGATAAAGGCTAAGAAAAACAAATGAACCGATTAAGTAATGCTAGATTGGTTGTAAGGGAAGTAAATGAAACACGTTTTTAATGAAGATGTGATACGATTAAGGGATGATAAGAGAGGGGTTGAAAATATAAGTCAAGGGTGGTGTAGAAGTCATCAGTTGGTTATGTCTTAATAGGCCAAGTGAGGGATAACGGCTGTACGAACTTTTTTTGAATGCATAGTTTCGGCTTAATAGTTGGAATCCCTATCGCCTCAGCTATGTGCAGTAGACGAATACGAAGTCTATTGGAAAGATTAGGCGGGAGACAATGAATTACTTTGAGAGCTCTCGTTTTCTCCACTACATGACCACTATCAATTAAATGTGACAAAATTGAGCTACGGATTGTTTTTGTCTGTCCTTTGTCAAACCACAATGGGAGATGTTCATTAACACGTTGGTTAAGCTGTATAGTAGTACGCCCAAAATAACTGTCACCGCAGGTGCAGTTGAATTGATAAATGCATATAGATGTGGCAAAGCTATCTAGCTTATCCTTCGTTAAAGTCCCAATCATTCGTCGGCTAGAGAATAACAAACATAGGTTTGCTGCGTTAAATGTTCTTCGTATACTCCTGGAAAGTCTCTGGAATAAAATCTCACTTGAGAAGTCACCATTAGATTGTAACTTATTTAATAGAGGTTTTTCTACGCGCAGTCAGATTCTCAGGTTTTCTCTCTGTTGTTTTCATAGGTTTAATCATGCTGTTTTCACTAATCATGTCATCACAGATTGCCTCACTTTTTCATACTCATTACTGATAAAACCAGTATTATTATTACCACTATTTTGAATAATTGCACAATTTATCTTCACCATCTAATTATCCTATAGACAAAACACCATGACTGGTTTATATTTGAATTTTTATTTGTAAGGTTATTTCGGTGTAGTAGAGTTACGCCCAATGAGATCTAATTGAAAGCAGAGTACTGCTCGCATAAATGTGTTGTACTAGTTTATTTAGGCGGAGCCTCCATGCTTCTGTATAGCCAGTTTACAATACGTGTAATCGAATTCCACTAAACAAGAGCCAATTATATGTGTTCTCTTATTGCCAGTAGACCTCGCGAAACTTCCTGTGGATTTTGTTCCTTAGAGTATGAAATTTCTTGTAAAAGAGGTGAACAATCACTTTGCCTTCTTCATTTAGGTTAAGATGGAGTTATGAAAACATACTGTTGTAAGTCCTAGAGACCAGAAGTAAGAGACAGAGACACGACAGAATACTTGAAAAGTTGTCTTAAGGTGTACGAAGCGATTTGAGTGGTCGGTGTAACAGAAAGATTGTTCCGAAAATCCATCCTGAACAATCGAATGACAACATACGGTGGGTTAGTGAGTTACACAACATACGGCCACTAACCAAGGAGGTGAATTTACAAGAACAAACTACACGAAAATACCGGTGACTAAACTCATACGATATATCCTGCAATCCCAGCCATGCTAATCATCAACGAATAAAATCGTGGAAGCCGATTCTCAGAAATGCATTTCAGAAAAGAAATTCTTGCAAAATTACCGAATCGTAGGCAGAACACTTACACGCTACACCTGCACCAACCTCTTGAAATGGAAAGGGTGAAACCACATCGGTCGTGTATGTGACATAGTAGTGAAAGGTGAAATTCATCAAGTCAACATGAAACTCTTGCACAAAATAAACACTTAAAACAACAAACTCACCTCCATGGACTGACTCCATGTGAGTCTTCAAACTGCCAGCTGTAGTGGAATCTTTTCCACATACGTCACATTGGTATCTTTTACCTAATCATGGATATGAAATACGAAAAGAGGAAAGGTTAATATAGTCACAGGAAATCTGTTGAGTTAACCGATAGGAGAATGGCTTTGTCATGATAATACCTTCAATAATAATAAAATTGGTAAGACGCCTACAGGAGACACATCCTATTCCACCACACATTAAATTATTTCCGATAACCATGGATAAATTTCGCCTCACAAGAAACAAATAAAATAAAAACAAGTTATCCAGCATACAGTACTACAGAAGTTAGTCACTATTTTGTGATTCTCTGGCATTTGCACTCAGCATTCCACTAAAACACACTACTCAAATTTACTCAAAGTGATCAGTATGTGGTAACTGCTTTAACTCATTTGTTCTCAGAAATCTTTCGAAGGAGTTAGCAATGACGGCATACTGCCAAACTATATAGCACAATCGTCGATTGCTATTTCGTATTCAGTTCAGAAATGAAAACTGGATGACAACGAATGACATCGCACAACTCTTAGACGTCATGCGATAGGGATCAAATTATAATTGTGAAGGTAATCTTTTCTTTTTATAACAGGATCTATTCCTAATTTCAATGGACATTGATGAAAATATCTTTTTTCATTTTGTTTAATCCTGTGTTAGAGCTGGTAGTGTAACAACACAAGACAAGGGCCAGGAAACAGATTGTTCATTAAGGAAAATCAACACATATTTATAGATTTTAATGTACATAATTGTAGATTATTGTTAGTAGAAAATACAGTCTTTTGAATGGTTGTTTCTCACTGAAAGTTAATCTTTCATCTCTTTGTTGCTGTCTCTTGAGTGTCAGATCAGATCTTGAGTGTCTATCTGCTAATTGTATCCGCCTACGCAAAGCCTTTATTCTATTTTCTCATCATCAATATTGGGAACGTAAACATTGACGTCAATTACTGTCTACCAATTTGGCTAGCAGCCATCTCTCACCATACATCTAATTTTATTTTCAAACTATACTTGTACGGAGAGGATGTCCAGATGACAAAATGGAAGAAATTGACAGTAGTCCCAGTGTATACACAGGCACAGAAGGCAATATTTTCCATCACTTCTAGCTGTTTATCTTCTGCAGTAGTGGTGGATAAAAGTAGCAAATTAATAAGAATGAGTATCCTTTTGTTGTTTACTCATGACTTGTCGAGTCCTCAGTCCAACTGGAAGCAGTTCTTTCGCCTAAGACTTTGTAAGGCTATGCATTAGTGAAACGCTGACTACATTGCGTGACAAGCCACCATTTCAACAGCGTTCTAATGTTTCCGTTCAATAACCAACAATGCTTTTACAGTTAACATAAGAACACTCATTTACATCTATTTCAACGACTAACGTTGTTTCAGTAAGCTAACTTGCTCATGCTTTCACAGGAGGATTAAAACAACCATCATAATTGTAGTAGTCGTTCATAGTATCCGTTCTTATATTTGTTCTGGTTGAATTTATTAACTCAGTGTCATAGAATGCTTTGTCGCCCTTCTCAGTACTCTACTCCTAAAAACATCCCCGCTTGAAAAAATTTTCAAGCAGCCATTTTCAATCTTCATATGATGAAAATTCTCATAAAGTTTCAGGTGGTGATCTCTGGTGGTTGTGTAACAACAAAAGACAAGGGCCAGGCAACAGATCATTTATTAAAGAAATCAAAGCATATTTATATATTTTCATGTACATTATTATAGATTAGTTAAGTAAACAACACAGTCTTCTGATTGGTTGTTTCTCACTTAAAGTTAATCTTTCATCTCTTTGTGACTGTTTCTTGAATGTCAGTTCATCTATATGTTAACTGTATCCGCCTACGCAAAGTCTGCTGTGGTCGGTTTTTGAATCAGTCTTGGTCATATTTTCTCACGATTAATCTTGAGAACGTAAACATTGACGTTAATTACTGTCTACCAATTTGGCTAGTAGACAGCTCTCACCACAGTTGCTTTTATCCATCCACTCACGAAGTGTACTCGCCACGTCACCTCAGTGGTCAGTTGTGATTTTCACCCTTTTGTTAAGGGATTCAGGTGACAACGAAAAATACTTTATGAGAGGAAACGGGAGGCCACTAATGCAATGAATAACTACTTAAAGTGGGGAGGCACGGAAGTATAGTTTTCAACACTTCTCACTACCTCTCAAAAATCATCAGTCAATATACAGTGAACTGGTCAGTTTTCGATTTAAAACCCTTCATACGTTTACTCTATTATCAAGAAGGAGTGCTGGATAGCTAGATCTGTGACAAAATCCAGTGGTGCGTAATACTAAGAGAATCACAGGAAACAATTACCGCCCGAGATTCGTGAATCTTGAATTATATGAGATTAAGCAACTTGTGCAGGATTAAATTCCTCCATAAGAAACTGACTTGGCAAAATAGTACTTGCAACATTAGGATATCGGGCGGCTTTTTGCTGGATGTTCTTTTGGAGTCAAAAATCTTTCCATAGGCTAAGACAAGTAGGTCTCGTCGAAGAATTTCGAGGTTTTATTTCACTTCGGAAATCAAGAAACAAACTTGTTTGTCAAAAACATAGACTTATCTCACACACGGCACTCTATTCATAAGTGAGAATAGCAGATAACAAAACGGAATACTTACTTGAAGAAACAAGCTGTAAGACATCTTTCCATAGTGTGCGCCGACAAAAATAAACAACATTGTCATGTTCACGCAAATCGTAACTAAGATAGGACAATTAACTGTCGACCACTCATTCTTATCAACGTCAAATAACCGATCGTCATCTCACTCCATTTCAAGTTTGTTTAAATGTGCCAATGGAAGTCTTTGAGAGTCGGTAATCTTCCGAAAGTCAATGCTTGCTAACGTTAAACTAGAGCTCTATGTATTTATGCATCTTCAGGCCTTCTTCTTCATTCGTGTTTCTGTTATGATTGTCAAATATTTTTGAAGCATTTGACAAGGAGCTCACATTTTAATGCTTCCGCTGTCAAAAAACTACACTATCATAATGTCTGTTGATCAGTTGACTTAGCTTATTTTCCTTCTTTTAAATATATAACACTTGTTAAATCTCTTACAATGATATTGTCTTTATAATAACGTCTATTGTCCTGGGGAAGAGTTTATGCTTTTGAGTGAGGCGAAAAATAATCATAGTGAGTACTATTATTTCTTAAAACCTGTCATTTCTTTGCACGACATCTTCTTACTCCTCGGTTATACTACCTTGTCTTCAAACAGTACTGACTAATCAAATCTATTGTCTGATATAAATTAGCACTATGATATCCTCTTTCACACACTCCTGTCACTACTTCCACAATATGGACTGAATCCAAAATTCCACGTCTTATCAAGAGCAATAACAATCAGTCCAGATGAGCATCCTATTAACCATCAACACTCTCCTTCCAACAACGAAATCCTGACTCTAAATTATTCAATACGGGCTATCAAAGTGACAACACAATTAGAAAACTGACTCACTCTAAAATTAGGTAAGAGACAAACCACTACACTGTGGTAGTGGTCATTATTCACACACTGACGTGCAGATAAGGCTTCTGCTTCTCTCTGCATTGATTAAACATAAAGAAAGTGGAATCTAGTCTCATGTTGCTTTACACCAGTGAGCGTTCATGATCATATACACTACTCCGCTTATTCAACAACCAAGAATTATTGGTATTATGAAAATCAATTATGTTTATATGCAGAAGACAACAGATTTCCACCAGAAACATTTGCACATACAAATATTCAAAGTGTATGGAAGCGAAGAAAATGCCACATGAAGTAATATCAATTCATCGTATCCTCTAATTAGTGTCTTCATGTACAAATAAAGTCCGTCACAATTGAAACCATGGTGAGAAGCATTATTTCACACTTCAAAATACAATTCAGTCATTCATATTCGACCAACCGATGACGATACAGACAGAACAATCACTGAATTCATCAGTGAAATTAAGACAAATAGAGTCAAACCAGTGGGTTAATAACTAACGCAACATCCGATCACCGAACAAAGAAGTAAACATAAAACAACACACTACACCAAGACAAAGGTGAATAAACTAACGAGACATATTCTGCAAGTAAAGTCATGCTAACCAGCACACATTCAAATAATAAAGGCCGATTTTCGTAAAATGGATTTCAAAAAGAAATTCTATAGGAACTACCGAATTTCGGACAGTAAATATACACTCTACACCTCTATTGATCATACAGAACATATACACACTACACGTGAACCAATCCCTTAGAATGCAAAAAGCGGAAACACATCGGTCATGTATGTGACACAGTAGTGAAACGTGAAATTCATCAAGTCAACATGAACATCTCGCACAAAATAAACACACGAACAACAAACTCACCTCCATGGACTGACTCCATGTGAGTCTTCAAATGGTCAGCTCGAGTGAATTCCTTCCCACATACGTCACACTGATATCTCTTACCTAATCATGGATACAAAATACGAAAAAGGTAAAGGTAAAGACATCAATATAGTCACATGGAGTCTGTTGAGTTAACTGAGAGGAGAACGGTTTTTCATTATAATCACCTCAGTATTATAATATCAGTAAGACAACTATAGAAGACACATCCTATTCCACTAAACAATAAATCATTTCCGATAACCATGGATAAATTTCGCCTCACATAAGGTAATTAAAATTAAAACAAATTAGCCAGAATAAAGTGTTAGAGAAATTGGTGACTACTTTGTGATTCTTTCGAAATTCACTCAGTCATCAGAATTCCAGTAAAACACATTACTCGCGTTTACTCAATATTTTCATTAGGTGGTAACTCACATGTTTCCAGAAATCTTTCGAGGAAGTTAGCAATGGCGGTATACTTCCGAAATATATACCACAGATGTCTATTGCTATTTAGTATTCAATTCAGAAATGAATTCACCACATTCGCTCTGATGCTCACTTTAACACTATACTCAGAAATGTGTCAATTCAACCTAGAACATCCACTTCGCCATTACTGCCACCCAGAATGTGAGCGGACTGTGACCACATCGTGATGAAATGCCACCAACTCATTACATGACAGTGGAACAGACACAATCAATCTGCACTCCTGTTGAATTTCCTAACATCTTAACATCTTATTCAAACCGCTTTCAACGTTACCAAGGTGGACATCTCATCTAAGTCATATTGTTAACTAGCGTTCTAAAGAATCTTCACGTCATCGCCATTATGTTGTGCATATAAATTAGTGAACGTTGGATTATACCACTGTCATGATTAAACTATATCGAGTACTTCGCTTTGTAATTTTGATGAAAGTTATTTATTCCTACAGGGATTCATTATTCTGTTAACGGATTAACCAGTCATCTCAGTTATGATCAATAATATTTCGAATCCCGTATTGTACTGAATGCTGAAAATTCCTTGCTGTATCATTAATACTGTTTTTGGAATAAAGCAAAAAATTATTATTATTATTATTGTATTACAATAAAGAGGATCCTAATTAGGATGGAGTCATCCAATTTTACTGAAAACCCAATAAACATACATAAACGTAAAATAAACAGACTCAGATTACGTCCTTATTCCAGTAACGTCTACTAGCTGATACGGCGTCTATGTTTACACTATCCATCGATTGTGTCTTTTCCAATCACACCACTTAATGATTATGATACTTTCGTTATGTACTAATCGCTATGCTTATTCTCTCCATCTATTTGTGTGTTCTTTCTCGATCCGTAATCACTGCGAACCAATGAAATCCGACTGACCTATAAAACAAGATGAAGATGGGTATGCTAGATTCATCGGAGTTGGACAGACTCCTTGAACTAGGACTAAATAAAATTATTGAGTTGAACATGGAGTCAAAAATCTCTAGTTTCGAATCATCTCAAGCTACTCCGACTGTGGTAGCTCCTGCTCCAGATGGGATTTCCAGTAACATTATTCAAACCAACTCTTATTTTGATTACAGTGTTACATTCATATTTAGTTGAGGAGATATGAAGACACCATTAAAGTAGATTTTGGCGGCCAAGCCCGTCTCTCAATTAAAGAATCAGATCCAATGTGTCAACATTATTCTGCCTCAAAATTCATGCGATCACATCTTTCACACCACACTGAACACATTAGCACATCAGTTTGATGAGCACTCATTTCTTTTAATTCTCTTGAGTTAATCAACAATGAAAATGATGAATTTCTAACACACGTTGGTGTGGCCAATCATATATGTGGACGCTTCAAATTGAAATCTTCAAAGGACGACAGTTTTAAGACAATTATACTCAACTGAAATCTACAGTCAACTATGATTGTCCATATGAGAATAAAGCTCTTGAATCTTTCCGAGCAGCATCGGTCCCTTACACGCACTTAAATAACTCATGAGTATCAACGAATCATAAGTACAGATAAATCCGAATGCGTAAATGGGTATAATGTACATGCGGTTAGCCAAAAACCACATACTGTCACAATTTCAACAAAGAACCTCTCTAAACTCAACATACGTAGTAACGACATTTAGATGAAACACAGTGTGGCAGAAGACTCCAATGTTTATTCTCTAAACGATATACATACACAGATCAGAACGCTGAATGTTCAATTGCCAAAACTGTATGGACATTATTTGGACGTGCAACGGTGAAGTCTCAGCGAGCACCGATTACCAATCATAACACTTCAACACTGTACGACAACATCAGAAATATAGCTCATACTCACACTCACAGATGGAGAACATTAACTCACTCTTTAAGCATCTCCTTAGCTTCGGTGGAATACCCAGAATGTAAGTTACAAATTCGAATGTACTTTATCTACCATAGTGGATTGACTAACAACACTCGTCTTGATTCTCATTGTATTCTATTTTATTGATTACACTGATAGTGGTTCTGAATATAATTTACCTTCCATGCTGTTTCCCACAAGTTTTATACTGATTTTATTCAAATGTCTAGTCTCTGTGCACTCAAGTATGTAAACGAAGCAAGCACATTGTGTGAGTACTGCGTTTATTTGATTATTGGCGGCAATAAATTGCGCTACAAACGTGGTCATAAGTAAATATTACTGTATAACAATGTGTGGCTACTTAATCAAAATAAAGGTTTATCCATAATGAAATTACCGAATCGTAAACATAGCATATACACGCTACACCTGCACCAGTCCCTTAGAATGCAAAAAGCGGAAACACATCGGTCATGTATGTGACACAGTAGTGAAACGTGAAATTCATCAAGTCAACATGAACATCTCGCACAAAATAAACACACGAACAACAAACTCACCTCCATGGACTGACTCCATGTGTTTCTTCAAACTGACAGCTTGAGTGAAATCCTTCTTACATACGTCACACTGATATCTTTTACCTAATCATGGATACAAAATACGAAAAAGGTAAAGGTAAAGACATCAATATAGTCACATGGAGTCTGTTGAGTTAACTGAGAGGAGAACGGTTTTTCATTATAATCACCTCAGTATTATAATATCAGTAAGACAACTATAGAAGACACATCCTATTCCACTAAACAATAAATCATTTCCGATAACCATGGATAAATTTCGCCTCACATAAGGTAATTAAAATTAAAACAAATTAGCCAGAATAAAGTGTTAGAGAAATTGGTGACTACTTTGTGATTCTTTCGAAATTCACTCAGTCATCAGAATTCCAGTAAAACACATTACTCGCGTTTACTCAATATTTTCATTAGGTGGTAACTCACATGTTTCCAGAAATCTTTCGAGGAAGTTAGCAATGGCGGTATACTTCCGAAATATATACCACAGATGTCTATTGCTATTTAGTATTCAATTCAGAAATGAATTCACCACATTCGCTCTGATGCTCACTTTAACACTATACTCAGAAATGTGTCAATTCAACCTAGAACATCCACTTCGCCATTACTGCCACCCAGAATGTGAGCGGACTGTGACCACATCGTGATGAAATGCCACCAACTCATTACATGACAGTGGAACAGACACAATCAATCTGCACTCCTGTTGAATTTCCTAACATCTTAACATCTTATTCAAACCGCTTTCAACGTTACCAAGGTGGACATCTCATCTAAGTCATATTGTTAACTAGCGTTCTAAAGAATCTTCACGTCATCGCCATTATGTTGTGCATATAAATTAGTGAACGTTGGATTATACCACTGTCATGATTAAACTATATCGAGTACTTCGCTTTGTAATTTTGATGAAAGTTATTTATTCCTACAGGGATTCATTATTCTGTTAACGGATTAACCAGTCATCTCAGTTATGATCAATAATATTTCGAATCCCGTATTGTACTGAATGCTGAAAATTCCTTGCTGTATCATTAATACTGTTTTTGGAATAAAGCAAAAAATTATTATTATTATTATTGTATTACAATAAAGAGGATCCTAATTAGGATGGAGTCATCCAATTTTACTGAAAACCCAATAAACATACATAAACGTAAAATAAACAGACTCAGATTACGTCCTTATTCCAGTAACGTCTACTAGCTGATACGGCGTCTATGTTTACACTATCCATCGATTGTGTCTTTTCCAATCACACCACTTAATGATTATGATACTTTCGTTATGTACTAATCGCTATGCTTATTCTCTCCATCTATTTGTGTGTTCTTTCTCGATCCGTAATCACTGCGAACCAATGAAATCCGACTGACCTATAAAACAAGATGAAGATGGGTATGCTAGATTCATCGGAGTTGGACAGACTCCTTGAACTAGGACTAAATAAAATTATTGAGTTGAACATGGAGTCAAAAATCTCTAGTTTCGAATCATCTCAAGCTACTCCGACTGTGGTAGCTCCTGCTCCAGATGGGATTTCCAGTAACATTATTCAAACCAACTCTTATTTTGATTACAGTGTTACATTCATATTTAGTTGAGGAGATATGAAGACACCATTAAAGTAGATTTTGGCGGCCAAGCCCGTCTCTCAATTAAAGAATCAGATCCAATGTGTCAACATTATTCTGCCTCAAAATTCATGCGATCACATCTTTCACACCACACTGAACACATTAGCACATCAGTTTGATGAGCACTCATTTCTTTTAATTCTCTTGAGTTAATCAACAATGAAAATGATGAATTTCTAACACACGTTGGTGTGGCCAATCATATATGTGGACGCTTCAAATTGAAATCTTCAAAGGACGACAGTTTTAAGACAATTATACTCAACTGAAATCTACAGTCAACTATGATTGTCCATATGAGAATAAAGCTCTTGAATCTTTCCGAGCAGCATCGGTCCCTTACACGCACTTAAATAACTCATGAGTATCAACGAATCATAAGTACAGATAAATCCGAATGCGTAAATGGGTATAATGTACATGCGGTTAGCCAAAAACCACATACTGTCACAATTTCAACAAAGAACCTCTCTAAACTCAACATACGTAGTAACGACATTTAGATGAAACACAGTGTGGCAGAAGACTCCAATGTTTATTCTCTAAACGATATACATACACAGATCAGAACGCTGAATGTTCAATTGCCAAAACTGTATGGACATTATTTGGACGTGCAACGGTGAAGTCTCAGCGAGCACCGATTACCAATCATAACACTTCAACACTGTACGACAACATCAGAAATATAGCTCATACTCACACTCACAGATGGAGAACATTAACTCACTCTTTAAGCATCTCCTTAGCTTCGGTGGAATACCCAGAATGTAAGTTACAAATTCGAATGTACTTTATCTACCATAGTGGATTGACTAACAACACTCGTCTTGATTCTCATTGTATTCTATTTTATTGATTACACTGATAGTGGTTCTGAATATAATTTACCTTCCATGCTGTTTCCCACAAGTTTTATACTGATTTTATTCAAATGTCTAGTCTCTGTGCACTCAAGTATGTAAACGAAGCAAGCACATTGTGTGAGTACTGCGTTTATTTGATTATTGGCGGCAATAAATTGCGCTACAAACGTGGTCATAAGTAAATATTACTGTATAACAATGTGTGGCTACTTAATCAAAATAAAGGTTTATCCATAATGAAATTACCGAATCGTAAACAGAGCATATACACGCTACACCTGCACCAGTCCCTTAGAATGCAAAAAGCGGAAACACATCGGTCATGTATGTGACACAGTAGTGAAACGTGAAAATCATCAACTCAACATGAAACTCTCGGAGAAAATATACTCACAAAACAACAAACTCACCTCCATGGACTGACTCCATGTGCCTCTTCAAATTGCCAGGTACAGTGAAATCCTTCCCACATACATCACACTGATATCTTTTACCTAATCATGGATACAAAATACGAAAAAGGTAAAGGTAAAGACATCAATATAGTCACATGGAATCTGTTGAGTTAACTGAGAGGAGAACGGTTTTTCATTATAATCACCTCAGTATTATAATATCAGTAAGACAACTATAGAAGACACATCCTATTCCACTAAACAATAAATCATTTCCGATAACCATGGATAAATTTCGCCTCACATGAGACAGTTAAAATTAAAACAAATTAACTGGAATAAAGTGTTAGAGAAATTAGTGACTAGTTTGTGATTCTTTCGAAATTTCACTCGGTCATCAGAATTCCAGGAAAACACATTACCAACGTTAACTCAAAATGATTATTAGGTGGTAGCTGGTGTAACTCACATGGTCTTTCGATGAATGACGGTATACTTCCGAACTATATACCGCCATTGTCTATTGTTACTTTGTATTCAATTCAGAAATGAAAACTGAACGCCTAACACCATACTACTATCAGTCGTCAAGTAATATTAATCTAATTACAACTGTGACGGATTTTTCTTCTATTTATGCCCGGATCTACTCCGAATTTCAAATGCAATTCTCGACAATATCTCGCAGTCGTTACTCTTTTGTCGTGTATCAATCATAGCACAACTACACATTTCTTTACGCCGTCCAACTGCTGAGCGATATGCTTCGGTACTTGTATATATGCCGTTGACTTAAACAGCTAATCCTGTGACCACCTTTTTCCTGTTACAGAGTCTCTTTCTAGCCTCACGAATTCTCTCTCACACACACACAGTTACATTTGGATGATACTTTGCAATTCCCAAATAATTCGGCCACGTGAACGATATTCCGAACTGACCTCCTCCGTCACAGACAACAACATAAACACAAGGATAATTATACACCCATCGATGCAATTGTACAGACCAGTGAATGATTTCGAGCAACAATGTCGCTTCACTGAACTATTTCTCCTAATTTCTTTGTCTGGATGTGTCATATGGACGTAAGAATTATTTCACCTCTTCTTCCTACACTGTAACCTTAAGGGTTCATTTTTGCTTGTTCAATGTTACCACCATCCTTAATTTTGAAATGAACATACGGAACACCACACGTGAAAATAAGCCAATGTCACTGCATGTTCTCTTTACTTTGAACGAATCTCAAACGACCTAGACTATTATGAAAACGCAATAATCAGTCTGATAAATGTAGTGCTTATCCAATTTCTTGCATTTTTACATAAAGATCGATCATTTCGTTCTGCTTATTATTCACCATTTTCTTATGAAAGTAATGAAAGATGAAGTGGCTAAACACGCAGCTAATTCGCTACTTTCTATTAGTCAAACAGCTACACAAGTTGTACAAAAATGAGCAAATACATATGACTACCTATTTTGGCATGCAACTCTCGAATAGAACGTAAGAGGTGTGTGTTGATTCGGTGAATGTAAATACCATGAATCACCCTTGACACAATTACGAAACCAAGACCAATGTATTGGTAGCCATGCTCTCCTCCTTACGGCAAACGCATCTCCATTATGTATGTGAATGCTGACAAAAGGCACACATACCAAGACCATTCATAAATGTTTTCTTAAGATAACGTATCCTTTCAAATCTCATTATTTTAAACAAACGTACAACAGATAATACGTCAGAATAAGCGAACGTCACTACATGTTCATTTCACTTCGAAAGAATCTAAAAGTAGCTTGACTATTTTGAAAATGTAATATTAAGTCCGATGATTGTATTGTTTATCTAATCTCCAATCCATCAGTCACGATAGCTTGTCGTCGAACAGTAACTGATTAAATATATTTTCTGATGCAAATACTGGAAATCCTGTCAAAATCAAGTCTCAATGTGTTACCTAGGTCACGGTAGAAGTTTTGCTTTGTCACCTCATACTTTACTCATAGTAAGATTTTGGATGAAGTTGCAAGGTAGCTATTATTCAATTTTCTAAGACAATGGACACATGTTAGTAGAGGAGATAGGCAGCAACTGGCGAAATTCTACCTCATTAGATGGCATTGATTTTGATTTTCCTCAGGCGTCAAAATTCTACCTCCATTTTCCGTACATTAATTACTACTCGATCCTCGTAGACAGACATCACGGATAATATTGACTTCTCATACAAATGTATTATTCTATGCATAGTCGTTTTGACCTTCATAGTTATTCAAAATATCTCAGTTCACATATTGTACCACAATTAGGCACATTTAATTTTACAATAGAACCATTTACTTTTACTGTAAACGCCATAATCCATATAGCCCAAAATCATAAACAGCCTACACAAGATCTCGTATGAGAAATATGTTGAACACTGTATCATTCCCAGTGTGTTGGTATTCATCAGCTGTGAATCTCCTATTTAGAATATGCACAGCTTTCAAAATGAGCGACATTATCAACTAACACTATTACATGCTCTCTCTACCTTTACATTTCCGTCATGCAAAGCCAAATGAAGTCAAACTGGAAAAGTTGTTGGGTAGCTTATCGAAAAATCGCATTCTTACCTGTGCCATAGGTCACGAAGACGTTAATACCAGAGAAAAGTATATCACAGTAATGACACTAAGGATAAATTACTCTCACTTCATAGAGAAATGATCATGTCATCACAACCCTAATCCTACTCTGTAGTCGTTTGTGCACACACAATTACTGTATAGTAGGTATGTATGCATCGCTAAACTGTTGTTCAGATTTCAAATTACACATACTTCTCGTTCAGTGATGATTAATCTTTCAATGCCTGCAGTCTAATGAATATATGAGAATACTGTTTACACTGGATTTCACTGGGAAAATCCAAATTGTTGTCTATGGTAATGAGGAAGTCGTTGGAGAAGTAGACGGCATTCTGGATAAATCTGTCAGTTAACATCTGATAGAAACCTCCAGGCTTTAGAGACAAGTACATCTCTAACTAGAAGCTATCCTGCAACAAAGTTGGTTCTCATTTAACTGACGACATACTCCTGTATGCAATCAAAGGTTGATAGATACTCTACTCATGTTAACTGTAATTAGGTATACAAATTTATGTGTTCACAGCAGCAGTAATACGAGGAGATCAGAAAGAAGGACATATCTTGGATTCTTTGAACATGTACCAATCAGCTTACGACACAAGTGAAGAAATACTTTGAATAGTGCTATTGCTAAACATATTGTTCATATGAGTAATGAGATAGACAATATGAAATCCTTTTAAACATTTGATAGACATTATGACTCCATTCTCCTCAAATTTCCTGAAGAATTCGCTATTAAACGGTTAAGAGCTGATTTTTGTGTTCACCCATCAGTCTTTCCTTGTCCTGCTAACCCCATGTCTAATGTCTTCCCCTCATTTTTTGGCCTTGCCCGCACCCATTCTCGCTTCAAAGTAATTTTGTTTGTTTGTTTGTTTTATGTGTCTACCACTTGACTTCAACACGCCATGCTACTACTCAACTGATTAACTAATATCATGAACTTTGCACCTCTTGTCTTAATTGTACAATTCAATTTTCGCCGTGAGAACAACCAACGTCACTGAGCATTACCAGTCTGAAAAAATTATTGTACACTTTGAACTCCATTTTCCACATATAACATAATAACCTGCATACATTTGCATTCCCCGAGGTACTTTTACACCATAACATACACACATTACAGACTAATGTAAACCAAATTTTATCCTGTTATCTCAGTTGTCAACCTTGTCGAACCAAATTCATTTCTCGACACATTCCGAAACATATTTTGTGTAATACGCAATTAGCAGTTAATTCGCTTTATGCTAAAGAAATAATAATATGGTCAACACATCTTCTTTACGTTCCCGCTAGCTGTTTGCATAATGATCCACAACAGTAAGCTTACTAAAGCCTCCTTGTGAAGTCACGAGTAAGACAGATATTTCATATCGTCAGTGACAATAAAAATTACGGTGGATTAGATTATATAACAAGCTGTGGGATGTGAGAGGACGACCATAAGTTGGACCGCCAGAGTTTTGCATATCGAGGATGATTATTGTCTTGTCTCACAAACTCGAAGATATACAACAGAAAACCAGTAAGTTGGCAGGAGAAGCAGCAACGATGTGACGCAGGTGAACATAGAGGGCAGAAGTGAGGAAAATACCCGAACATCAACAACAACAAATGACAGCCACCATCAAAGGAGGAAATCTACAGGAGGTCATCTCCTTCGCTCACCGAGATAGGACGCATCATTTCAACTACAGGAGGCGGAACAGATGAGTAGCCACGATTAGTAAGGTCAGAAGTCGATGTAGAGATCTACAGAACTCACCACAGGGAAGAATCGAATTCTCAACACTAATCCTAAATTAATCAGTGCTTTTATATGGTTCATAGACATAGTGCAAGCAGTTTCAAAAGAATTTCCAACATGCTACTTACTGCAAACTTACATCAATTGCTGCCCCATTAATTTGACAGTGAAGATCAAATGGCCAGCCAGAAAGGAGTGGAAATAAGGAATTCTGGGAGAGAACCAATCGTCTAACAAATATTCACAAGGAAACAGAGATGCATAAGACACACAGGATGAGTAGATTGACGGAGGATTTCACCTGATACACCCTCGAGTGAGACACAAATAGGAAGCGACGACTTCGACGTGGTCCCGATGGTGACATTGAGGAGGTCGTTTGACAATAAAGTCAAGATTGACAAGCAATTGTGGAGCCAGCCACCGAAGACTGCAGGGAACAGTGACATGGAGATCGGCTACTGAAAATCTATGTTCGACTCAATCTAGAATACAATGCAGATTCTGATTAGAAATAAAGATTTTCAGGATGGAATGATATCTCATTAGAACTTGCATTATATCTGCAGACTGTCAAATTTAAAATATTCTCTTAAACACAGATAAATAACCAGTTGATAAAGAATATCACCATTTCATCTATCCGCAAACAAAGACCACACATTCGAAGCCACAAATCCCATGTCAATCGAAAATTTCATTTCCAACATACTCTCAATGTTAAATAAACGTCATCAGCGAAATTTGAGGCATGAAACACACACTATGACCAGATTTTTTTCAATTAAATCCTACCGAACGTGTTGAATTGAGAATAGGAAATAAGCACAATATAGATAGACACTTATTAACTTCACTCTGATAGGAAACAGTACGATATTGTGCGGTCGGAATCCTCGATAACATTTTTTAACAGAAAATTTCCACTCAGCCATAAAACCATGTGATTCGAAGTGGTGCACGTTCAGGTTTCCAACAAGACAAATTTTTCACATATTCCCCAAGCACATTGACACTAAACATATTTCATATAAAAGGCAGCACCACAGTTTCTGTTAGTCACCAAGTCCATCAGCCACTATTACAACGCAAAATACATCATCGAAACAGTGACAAAAAATAAACACAAAGAACAACAAACTCACCTTCATGAACAGATTGGGTGTGAGTCTTCAAACTTCCAGCACAGGAGAAGAGCTTTCCACATTCACTACACTGAAATCGATGATCTAATTATCAAGGCAAATCAAACAGAATGAAAACGTGCAGTGCGATCAAATAGCAGTGATAGAATTTGTGGGATGGATTACAAAAACTGACTTCACTTGAATTTAGCAGCCTTGACAATTCGATACAGGTCTTAGATCCTGCGAATATGAGTCGCAGGTAGTATGACAACCATTATCTTAGTTCTCCTGCATAATGTCATCTTCGAGTAACAAGATACACATAATAACAGCTGAGGTGAATTAATTTCATCTTGTGTAACCCCAGTGACTCACCACCAAACACAATCAAACAACAATAAATTTAAAGGCGGAAAACGCCTACTTACTCATTCTGAAATACAGTTCGTGTTATACTCAATTACCAAATAAATCACCTTCACAGTAGGGACAATCACATTGTGGACAGTAACACCGAAAGAACACGAAAAGACACCGAGACTGATGTCCTTTCCACTCAACACTGCTCACATTCTCCAAATCATTCGCGAAGACTCTCTCTTCCTACCGTAAATGTACCGTGTCGTATTCGTCCAGAGAGATATAGAGTAACACAGAAGTGTCACTATGTGGAATCATTTCTTCTTCAAAAGAAACTACAATACTTTTGCTTCAGTATTTGAGAATTTCAGCTTCCTCTAGAGGTTGAGTAACAAAGACATTGAGGATAGAAGTTCTGGTTGGGACAGTGTCGACCGAAAGTTCCGACGAGTTAGATGAATGATGATGAAACTAGTTTAGAAATCTTCTGCACTCAGAATAAACAACAAGATTCGGATTTGCAACACAAATGTGCAGTCACTTCTTTGTAAGTGGGTCAGAACCTTCGCAAATGCGTCACGAACAGGATGTCCAACAAGTAGCAGACTTTTATCAACAGCTGCCACCTTCGCTCATATGGCCGGTCATAAAGAATTGGCAACAAGAAACTCTGGCAACAAACCAACCAAGAGCCGATAGCTCAACAAATATGTAGGAGAAAATGGAGATGGACTGGGAATACGCCGAGCAGACTGTTGGGTGACATCGCACGCCAGACCATCTCTCTAGTGGGTCGTCCTAGGATGACATAGAGGAGATAGCGTAAGGAGGAGATGAGAGATTATGGACAACCGTGGACCCAGCTGAAGAGGACAGCAGAAACAATGTCATATGGATTCGAAGATAACAATACATGACCTCTGTCGAGTGAATGGCATAAAATCTTAGTTCATATCCTACTGCTAGACTAAATCTTGACTAACGCTACACTAATACAACGGAATAATTTCACAAATCTACACATATGAGAGTGATACAAACACACTCAATTTGCAAACTTGTGGAGTCTCCTAGCAGAAAAGGGGATTTCACACTTCACTTATACTACTACTAATCAGTTGTTTAGAGAATAATGACACTTTCAAACAATCATCTCAGTTATATTGTGTGTATGCAGCACTCAGTGAACGTTGCATTAAACCAATGTTTCTGATTAGATCATATTAATTTCTACAAGAAGTAAGCTCGATGGAAAATATGCATTTCTAAATGAGAAGAGTTTCTCAATAGTGAAAAAAAACGATATTGAGAAACTCTTCTCACACATAAACAGCCATATCGACTCAATAAAATTCACTATGGAAGTAGAGAATGAAATTGGGGAACTGCCTATGTTAGATTGCAAAATACAAAGAATAACAGATGGCAGCATTAAAACGACGCTATATAGAAAAACCACACACTCTGGAAGATTCCTCGATTATCACTCAGCTCATCCACTCACGGTGAAACGAGGATTAATACAAGGTCTTGCAGATAGAATACGTAGACTTACAACAACGCCAGAGGACCAGTGTAAAGAAATAAAAGTCCTATTCAAGATGCTACTCGAAAACAACTACCCAAAACAATTTATAAAAGATAATATAAAAAAGAGAAAAAAGAGGGTAAAACCGGAGAATAACAAGATGGAAGAATGCAAAAAGGCAGTCACAATACCATATAAAAATGGTACATCAGAGGCAATTCAAAGAAACCTCAAAAGTATCGGCATTCACACAACTTTTAAACCGACAAATCTAATCAAAAATAAAATAAATCAACTGAAAGATCCCATAAAAATGATGGATAAAAACAACTTGATTTATAAAATATCTTGTGCTGACTCTCCGACTAAATATGTGGGGCAAACATCCAGATCACTCAAAATAAGAGTGAATGAACATAAACGCCTAACCAAAGGTCAACCAACAGGAACACAAGCCTACAAAAATCTTGAGAAAAATCCATTGATAGCTGCACATGCAGCGTGGGACAAAAACCACAATATCGATTGGGACAATGTGTGTATTCTAAAAACTGACATGAACAAATGGAAAGAAAGACTTATAACAGAATCGATATTCATTAAGGTCACACCGGATACATGTAACAAGGGTGACTCAGTACAACTGTCAACAACTTGGAATATAATTCTGAATACAAACACATGAATGAACGTGAAATATAACTTAAATACAAAAAAAAACGAATGAGCAAAAATAATGAACTCTATATATGAGTACAAATCACGAATTGGTAGAAGTTAGAATTCATGAGCCATTGAATCGGGTCCCAGTGGCTGAATGGTATACGAGCGTGCCTTGTAACCGGAAGGTCCTGTGTTTGAATCCCAGTGAAAGCGTACTGCCGATGATTCCTAAACTATGATGAAACAGCAGCTGTCCAGTACTCCCTGGTTTTCAATGGTTCTCCAACTGATATCAGTCCGTGAACAACTCGTAAAATATAACTAATTCTTACAAACCAAACTAAAGAAAATTTCTAGATGGATTTAATATTTTATTTGAGGATGAATGAATTCATCAACTCAGTTAATAAAAGCATCTCAATGACCTGAATAGAATCACCTACGTTTACTGCAAACACGACAACACATACAGCAGCAGCAGCAAAATATGCAGACCACTCGAAATGTTCTATGGGAAGAATACTGGAAAGCAGGCTAAAGTGCATGTCATTACACCTTATCAGTAGCACTCGTGAATCCTCAAATTACGATTCTGTAATTGTCAAAATTCGATCAAATGTGTGCTATTATCAATTAGCACTACGGTATGCTCTTTCATCTTCCGATTTAAGTCACTCCAAAACAATTAATAATCATTGGAAAATCCTTTCAATAGCGTAACTCAAAATCACCTCAATGAACACACTAGTGCAGGTGACAAAAACATTGTCAGCAGAGGAAAGTATGTTACTATACTATGGTCCGCTGAATCTCCACACGAATGAGGTTAACAGCATTGCACGACTAATTACATCCTGGTACATTTTCTTTCACGCAAACTGCCAGATTCCAGTAGACTCAAACATTATTGTTGGAAACATGTATTTCTAAACTAGTACCTGAGAGTTTCTGTGAATACAAATATACAACTATAATTTTCCAACAAAAGGTATCATGGATTAGGCGTATAATTCAACATAGAGCTGATTAGTGAATGCCAATCAACGGGCTG